CTACGTACAAGTATCAATTATAGAGGAGGACTTTAACTTTTACCCACACACTATACCCTAGACTATAATCAATATCGGCACACAAGCATCAACACACAAAATTTCACATTCTTCCCGTTTAAGCATACCCAAGTAAAATATTTCAGTTCAATAAATTCCAGCAACCTATTCGTCACTGCCCAACCTCAACAATCGACTTGCAACCACTAAGCACCCTCAATTCATGCACTTACCCAACAAGAAAGTTTACAACATTACCAATCATTCATGAGATCATGTGCCCTCACCAACAAACGAAAAAATGAGTATAAATTGGTCCACACATTCAAATATACTTTTGAATATAATTTAAGGACATCACACAATTGAACAAAATTCACTCACTCTCACAAAGAATTCATATGCATCCCGTGGTCGTACCATAAGCTTGCCCGTAGTGGATATCTCTACTAATTTAAGCTAGCCAAATCTAGGATCAATTAGGATTTTTAGGTTGTAATGTAAGCTAAGGGACGGGTAGGATATATTTAGAAATAGTGACTCACCCTCCTAAGCACTTTAATACACTACATTTACAATTCAAGCTCATATTCTTCTCAACCAACCCACTTGCCACATACAACATAGCCCTCTTTTCAATTAAGCACTTCTCTATTTTTCACTAGCACATAAGAATTGGAGGTGTTTATTTTTTCTATATACATTCATTATCATTTTTCTTTTCTTTTCTCCACACACTCCATACAATAAAGTTCATCGGCTAGTGACCTTTAATTTTAACTTTAGTGCACCAACGGGCCTTCCATGGTTCCGCTCAAAAGATGCTCCCCAATATCTATCCTTACTTCTTTTAGCGACTAAGTGCCTTAGGAGGTACAGGTTCAATCAATATCAAATTAAGAACAAAATAAGGGTATGGCTTGTAATGTGGGTGCCAAAGAAAGGTCTATAGGCTCAAAGGGGCTAGCAACGTAAAATTTTATTTTTATGTGACAAGCACATCCATGATCAAGCAAGAAAATGCCTACGTCATCTCCTAGATTAGCACAACTTACAATTTCACTTCAATTAACACACGGGGCAAGTTCTAGACTATACAGGATAGCACAGAAAATCACAAATCCTCACACACACGTCGCACATAACTCAATCAAGACGGTTCTGTTCAACTCTCAAGTCAAGAAAGCACACATAATTGAGAACTTTAAACAACCTTGCACTATGTGGCATACAAGTCAAACAACTGAGAAAAGGCGTCACAAAATAGGCTATTTACTTTACTTAGGCTTCACAATTCAAACCAAGTACACGGGAAAACAGAATGTATGTCATAGCCTAATGTGCCAGCATCAATCATGTCAATGAGTATCTCAGAACGACTCAGTTTCTTCCTAAACTACTCCTAAAAAGAAATTAAAATGCCCGGTTCGAGCTACATCCTTGGAAAAGAACTGGTGCCTAAAGAAAAACTAAAGAATACTACCTAGCTATTCAAAAAAATAAAATAAAACAAAAACAAAAATCTTTTTGGTGTTTTTAAATCGGACTTTTATCCCTCAAGAAAATTGTCCAAAAGATATCCATCGTCGGGAAAAGTCTGAAAGTAGTTTCCCCACCCCACACTTATATTATGCATAGTCCGCGATGCATGATCATAGAGAAATATTAAAACAAGGGTGAGAAATACTCCCTGAGACCCTCTCGGGCCTAGCTCGGACATGATCCTCAATATTAAGGGTCGGGACGACCCCACACTTAAGCTCAAACATGCTCCTCAGCTTCAACTTTGGGTACTCAGACTTACCCTACTCTGTAAAACAAAAACAACACAAAACTTGACACTAAAGAAAAATCAATAACTAAAAGATATACATGTTGGGTTGCCTCCCAACCAGCGCCTGATTTAACGTCGCGGCACGACACCATCACTTTCACCACTTTTCCTTCCACTTTGAGGATATAAATTGCGCCCCCAATTTGGCATCAACTTTTGTATCACGGTCCTGGGGCGGTGGTGTAAAAATAAAGAAACCAAGTAATAGGTATCGCATCTTGCACTTCTTGGCCTTTAAGTGAGGAATGTTGTCTCCTTGGTGTGGCAAATTTCAGAATATAAACACTTTGTTCCTCATCCATTGATTCCTCCATATGCTCGGTTTGATCAATTTCCATGTCACCAACCAAACACAATGTTGAAAAGTGTTTAGAATGAGGTCCAATACGCTCTAACTCCAAAATTGCATTATTTTGACATCCTCAATAATATATACTTCCTCAACCTCAGCATCATCAACAAGAACATGGTTAAAATAATTGATATTCCCGTTTTAGCTCCTCAATTTGGTCTAGAAGATCTTTTTCAGCTTCACACAACTTATCACTAAATTGTTGGACGTTGCATGCATCAACCTTTGCACTCAATTGAGCCTCTAATTCGTGAATAGAACTTCCAAATTGATCGATCTCTTGTCCCAGTTCATCTCTTCCTCCTATAAATTGTTGCATCTCATTCATAGTTTTCTCACGGAAACCTCCATATTCCTCTAATAATTTCCCGTGCATATCAAGAATGCGAACATCGTGTTCCACATCATCCCATTCGTTACTTCTGTCAAACTTACAAGAATTATTTGAATCAACATAAGGAGGGATTGGAGTAGGATAACAACACTTAGGACAATTATTCCAATTTCCATCACAAATAGTACAAGATGGAGATGGTGCTCACAACTCGGTATTGGGAATATTTTTACAATATTGCCACAAGTGAGTTCCTTTACAATATGGACAAGGATCACAAAAACAAGAATACTTATTATCCCACCACTTTTCGTTCAAAGATGCCATGTAAAAAAAATAAAAATATAATACTAACTACACTAGACTAAAATTAAAAACATAAATAGATTAAAAAAAGTAAAAATCTAATCTAGTAAAATAGTTAATTTCTAAATCCCGGCAACGGCGCCAAAAACTTGTTGCTCCCAAACACACACGCAAGTATACGTGGTCGACAAGTAATATAGGATTGTAAGTCCAGATATCGTACCCACAGGGACTTGTGATTAACTATCAACTAAATTAAACCCAAACAATTAATCTATTCAAGCGAATCCTAACGTATGAATATTTAATTAAAATTAATCTAGAGTAACAAATTAAGAAACAGAGGAAACAAATGGCGAATATTAGAGACGAATTCAATGAGGAGACAATATTCTAGAGCTATGGGTTAGCTAACTGTCACGACCCAAACTGGAGGGCCATGACTAGCACCCGGCCATACTTACCGAGCACCAACATACATTTTATCTAACCTTCTTTATTATCTTTTAGGGCTGACGAGATCAATATAAATGGTAGACATGGGTCATGGACAACCAACAATAAAATATGATGGCATGAACATACATAACATGGGATGACTAGACAATCAAGAAACTATATATAAGGTACGAGCTACCACACTACCATGAGAGACTATACAACAAAAACCAGCCGACAAGGCCTACCAAACTATACATGAGTCGACATCTGTCTATGAGCCTCTAAAGGAACATAAGTGTTGCAACATAGCCGGAACAGGGCCCCGACATACCCATAATATCTATAACAAAAATGCATACCAAGACCAAGGCAAGTCCGAAGAAGGGATCTCGCCAATCACCGCTGAACTGGACAGCCTACTATGGTGGGGGAGCTGCGCTTGCCTGTCTATCAGGACCTGCAGCACGACATGCAGCGTCCACAAATAAAAGGACGTCAGTACGAATAAAGTACTGAGTATCTAAGGCAGGGAACCATAAGTACGAACAATAATGTAAGCAGGGATAGAGAATAAACAACCTGTAACATCTGGGTACCTCTAAGGGCTACTGACATGAAATGCGTGATACATATGTATATATACATAAACTTTTAAAACATACGCCTCTGTGGGCATCATCATCATCATATCGTACCCGGCCGTAATAGGCTCGGTAAAAACGTACCCGGCCACGTGGAGCTTGGTAAAACCCAACTGATCAGTGGTTGCACAATAGGTGCCGTACCCGGCCGACTATAGCGCGGCTCGGTAGAGTAAAATAGATACATATATATATAATGCATGCTCGACTCATGGACTCACGTTCTAAACCTTTCGGAGTGACGTAAGGTCGGTATCCTCTGTACACGTTATTAGGACTAACTCTTCACCATGAACCTTATAAGAATCAGGAAGCACCAATAACATTGACAACATAAGAATAAGAGAAGCAACATCAACATCAATCGTTCCATAAGAGGGGAAACAATGTAAGTACTGCTAGCTTCTAAGAGTAGAGTATCTTTGGAAGCTCGTTCATTGCGTTATGTACAATTGGAGTCGTGCAAAAGAAGGAAAGGGATAGCCTCACATACCTTGTNTTTCACCACCTCCTTCATAATGGGATTTAATCTCCTTTGCTGCTCTACACTGGGGCGGTGTCCGTCCTCTAGAAAGATTTTATGCATGCAAAACGATGGACTAATTCCCTTGATGTCAACTATAGTCCACCCAATGGCCTTTTTATGCTCACGGAGGACTCTGAGCAATTTTTCTTCTTGAGTGCTGGTCAAGCTGGATGAAATAATCACGGACAGTTTCTCTGAGTTCCCCAAATAAGCATAGCGCAGATGCGCTAGAAGTGGCTTGAGTTCTAGCTTTGGAGCCTCTTCAATAGATGGCTTGGGGAGGGTCAGAGTGACAGGCCTGTCCAATTCTTCAAATTTTCTAACCCCATGTACATAACAGCAGGACATATCCAGCACTTGCTTGATTTCTCCCATCCTTTCATCTTCACCATTTTCTACGTCCCTAATAAATACACGTTCAACAGGATCTGCAGGGCTCATATAAGGTACTAACGACGTGGCATCACCTTCTACCACAGAGATCATGGACAACTCTTCATAGTGGGCTGGTAACTTGAGTGCTCTATAAACGTTGAAGACCTCCATTCGATCACCCACTCTCATTGTCATCTTTCCTTCACAAACATCATAATAGCTCGGCCCGTGGCTAAGAATGGATGCCCCAAAATAAATGGGACTTCCTGATCAGGCTCGTAATCCAGGATGATGAAATCAGCTGGGAATATAAAAGACCCCACTTGGACAAGCACATCTTCAATTACTCCCTCAGGATGAGCAAGGGAGCGGTCAGCTAACTGTAAGATAACTGTGGTTGGGCGTGGTTCACCCAACCCCAACTGTCTGAATATAGATAGCGGCATCAAATTGATGCTTGCTCCAAGGTCACATAGAGCTCGCCCAACAGTATGTTTACCAATTGTGATTTGGATAGTGAAACTACCTGGATCCTTCAGTTTCTGAGGTAACTTGCCTTGAATTCTGGAACTGCACTCCTCAGTGAGTGCCACAGTCTCGAACTCGGTTAGCCTCCTTTTATTCACCACAATGTCCTTGATGTACTTTGCATATTTGGGTACTTTCTGAAAGATGTCAACCAATGGAATATAAATTTGTACCTGCTTCAAGATATTAAGAAACTTTTTATATGCGGCATGATCTCGTAATCTCTGCAGTCTTTGAGGGAATGGAGGTGGTGGCCTTGCAACCAATTGTGGGGATTGCTCAGCCACAGCCTCTCCAGCCGGCTTCTCTGGCTCCTTGGCTTTCTCTGATGTTGATTCTACAGTGGCTGGCATCTCATTAAAAGTCACCTGTTTCCTCTTTTTAGATAGAACTTCCTCTAGTTGTCTCCTTTTTCTCAATGACACAGCATTAAGGATCGCCCTAGGATTGGCTTCAGTGTCACTTGGAAGAGCTCCCGCTGGTCTAGTATTTTGAGCATTAGCAAGCTGTCCTATTTGACGCTCCAAATTTCTCACTGTTGTGGCGAGGGCTTGCTGTTCAGCCATCACTTTCTGAGAGAGAGATTGCTGTTCAGCCATCACCTTTTTTAACATGTCTTCAAGGTGACTTGTAGGATTCGCTTGTTGTTCAACCTGAGGTGGTCTATATTATTGTTGAGGTGCTTGAGGCCTGTATTGATTTTGAGTGCCCTGGTTTCCACCCCAAGAGAAGTTTGGGTGGTTCCTCCAGTTGGGATTGTAAGTGTTCCCATATTGGTTTGTTTGGCCCCTATTTGAATTACCCACAAAGCAGACAAACTCTGGGTTTGCGGGGCATATGTCGCTCGTGTGCCCTTCTCCACATATTTCACAAAAAGCCTGAACCTGTTGTACCGGTTGTGTTTGCTGCTTGTTGATACTCAAATTCATTTGGTTCACTTGATTGGCCAGTGTAGCAATCTGCGGTGATAATGCTGAAATGACATCTAACTCAAGAACCCCTGCAGACTTTTGCACTGTGTGCCTGCCCATCTCTCCTTGCCAATCCGGATTGCTCTTGGAGAATTTGTTCAATAATGCATATATCTCGTCAAAGCTTTTCTCCAACACCTGACCCCCAGCTGCAGCATCTACCACGATCTTTGTTTCAGAATGTAGTCCTTCTATGAACGTGTGAGCTAACACTTCATTCGTCTGATTGTGATGAGGACAGTCTCTGAGTAGCCCTTTGAACCTTTCCCAAGCTGAGTATAAAGATTCACCTGCTTTCTGTTTGAAGGCCACTATTTCACTTCTGATCTTTGCAGTTTTGCCTGAAGGAAAAAACCTTGCTAGAAATTTTCTCGCCAAATCATTCGATGTTGTAATAGAGTTAGCTGGTTCTGCCTTTAGCCATCGCTTAGCCTCACCCAATAGAGAGAATGGAAAAAGTGTGAGCCTCACATAATCTGAAGTGACCCTGTTAGTGATATAAGTATCACTAATCTCCAAGAAGTTCAGAATGTGCTGCTGCGGATCCTCATGTGGAAGACCCATAAATTGCCGGTTCGCATGAAGTAACTGGATCATGCTCTGTTTCAGCTCAAAATGCCCAGTGATCCTGGGCTTCACGATACTGGAGGTGACATTAGCAATGCTGGGCATTGCCACCTCCTGAACAGCCATAGGTTGCTCCTTTGCCATGTTTACAGGAAATTGAACAAGTGCCTGAATATTATTCGTGTCCCTTGCTTCCCTCAACCTCCTGTGAAATGTTCCCTCAGGTTCCGGATCAAAGCCTTGAAGTCTGTCCTGGCTTCTGACCCTACGCATTCAATCAAAGTTCTTGAGATCTGAGCAACAATCAAGTAACGTTAGACTAGACGAAATAAGCAATTAAAGCAAAAACTAGCAAGTAGTTAATATTCAAGTCCCCGGCAATGGCGCCAAAAACTTGTTGCTCCCAAACGCACACGCAAGTATACGCGGTCGACAAGTAATATAATGATAAGTTGAGTGTCAAACCCACAGAGACTTGTGTAAACTACTCACGGAATTACTAAAATTGTTATTCAGTCCAGCTAAAATCAAAGTCCAATAATATGATTATACTATACTACGATTCTAAGTAATACTAAATTATCAAGTAACGAATTGATTGTTGTGTATTCAGTAGAGACAAGTATTCCAGAGTTGTGATCGATTCACCATTCGTATTGTGTTCTAATTAACTCTCCCTTTCATATAATTCACCCATGGTTGCTAATTAATCGATAAATGCTCTTATAGCCTTCTCCCGAAGTACTACTCATCTATTCTCAATAGATTAACGCCTATATTCCTATGAAATCAATCTATTAAGAACGCGTTAAGATTACGATGTTTAATTAAGCATGGTGACTAGGTATATTCCTATCCTAACCACAAATCCGCTCCCCCTAAGGGTTAAGATCATGCTCTCTTCAATTCTTCTCTAATCTAAACATGGCTTTCCCAAGCATAGCATAGATAGTAAATAGAACCTTACTATTGGCCAGACAATTAAGCAATTAAACGCAAAATTGAAGAAACAACCATATATTGGTGAATTATAATCAAGGTCAAGCTAATATCAAACAACAATATTCATGGCTAAATCACACCCCAGAACAATGGGTGTTTAGCCACTCATGATGTAATCAAACAATTGCATGATTGTTGAATCAATTGAAAATACTAGAAAAAGATGAAGAAAACTGAGAATTCTCCACTTCCTCACGATCCTGTGTGTGTTTTTACTCCAAAGTGGCGTTCACTCCCTTTCTTGGCCGGCTTCCTTCGTTTAATATAGGGTTTAGGGCTTAAAATCCCGTGTTTTGCACTTTGGTCCCTGAAGTTTACGCATCCTGCCGCGGTCCTACCGCGGTTACACCAGGACCGCGACCAGAGTGGCCTTCAGAATCTGCAGTAGTGTTCTGCCGCGGTCCTACCGCGGTTACGCCCGGACAGCGGCAGACCAGCTTCAGTTCTGGTTTTGTCCCTTCGCTTGGTGCACTTTGTGGATATTGTATGATTGGCCTCCTTTTTTTCGTAATTGATCCCAAAAGTACTCCACGGACTTCTTTTATTGGATATAGCCTGCAAAGCATGGAAAGCACAAATCAGAGCATTTTGTTATCACTTTTTACTGTAAAAGCTATACAAAAATGTGGTTGTTTAGGGCCTAATTATAGTCTAATTTACCTATTATCACCTATCATCAATATACTTTCACATTTGTAATATAACTTGAGCCAATGCTCCTCGATGTTCATAGGTCACAATTTCCTTTCACAAGCTTTTCACAACAAATAGGAATCATCACCAAGGTAAGAGGAATACAGCAAAATTAAGATATTCACAATTTAAAGGCTCACGGTCATGCTAGACACCAACGTATAGATACTCATCACCATGCCTATACGTCGTACTCGACAAGAAGCAATTAGCAAATAAGACTCAACTCCTAGTCCCTCAAGCTAGGGTTAGACCAAACACTTACCTCAATGCCTTGAATTCAACTCAAGCTTCAATTATAGTGTAACGACCCGACCGGTTGTTTTGAGTTCTCGCGCTCCGTTCAGTAGCCTGAGGCCATGAGCAGCTCCATTTCGGGCATTATGACTTGTACGCGTGGTCGGAATTGAATTTCGGGAAGTCCAGAGTTGATATGGAAAGAGAATTTTCATTTCGGAAGCTTAAAGTTGGAAGAATGAACTAGGATGGGATTGTTGAGTAAACGACCTCGGAATCGAGATCTGAAGGCTCCAACAGGTTCGTATGATGATTTCGGACTTGGTCGTATGCCCGGTTCGGGTTTTAGATAACCCGGGAGCGTTTTGGCGCCTATTGTGGAAGTTAGCATTTTTGAAGAATCTCATAAGTTTGGCTTGAAGTGTATTTCAGTGTTATCGATGTCCGTTTGGGATTTTGAGTCTGTGAATAGCTCCGTATGGTGATTCTGGAGTTGGGAGCGCGATCGGAAGTGAATTCGGAGGTCCGCAGGTCATTTTGGAGCCATTTGGCTAAAGATAGAAATTTGAAGGTTTTTGAGAAGTTTGACCGGAAGTGGACTTTTGATATCGGGGTCGGAATCCGATTCCGGAATTTGCACTAGGTCCGTAATGTCAAATATTATTTGTGTGCAAAATTTGAGGTCAATCGGATGTGATTTGATAGGTTTAAGCATCGAAAGTAGAAGTTGGAAGTTCTAAAGTTCATAAAGCTTGGATTGGGGGGTTGATTCATGATTTTAGCGTTGTATGATGCAATTTGAGGCATCGAGCAAGTCCGTAGCGTGTTTTGGGATTGGTTGGTAGGTTTGGTTGAGGTCCCGGGGGCCTCGGGTGGATTCCGGATGGTTAACGGATCGAATTTGGAATTTGGAGGAGGGCTGAAGGATCTGGTTGCTGGTATTTTCGCTTCTGCGGTGGGCTGTGGCCCCGCAAAAGCGGAAACGGAGCCGCAGAAGCGGTTTCTGGTCAAAGGTTCGAAGGCCGCAGATGCGGTCAAGGTTCCGCAGAAGCGGGACCGCATCTGCGGAGATCTGGTCGCAGAAGCGGGCGAGGGCATCGTGGGGAGAACCGCAGATGCGGTCATAGTTCCGCAGAAGCGAGACCGCATCTGTGGGAGGCGTGACGCAGAAGTGAGATTGGGGTGGCCCAGGGAGGACCGCATATGCGGTATTTGGACCGCACCTGCGGAACCGCAGAAGCGGTCTGCTGGGGCAGAATGATTATTTAAAAATCGGATTTTGGCCATTCTTCTCTCATTTTTCACTTGGCATGGGCGATTTTGGGAAGCTTCAAGAGGGGATTTTCGTCATCAACGTTAAGGTAAGATATTCCCACCTATATTGAGTTAAATACATCAATTATGTATGGATTTAGACTTGGAAAAATGTAGAAAAATTGAGGTTTTGGTGGAAAACCTAGAAATTTCATTCTTGGAATTTAACCACGATATTGAGTATGGAATTTAGTAAAAATTATATATTTGATTTCCTAAGGTTATGGGTAATCTTTATCTTCAAAAAATTTCGGATTCCTGGCACGTGGGCCTGAGGGCGTTTTGGTCAACTTTTCGATCGGAGTTAGGAATTTCTATAAATTAGATTGTAATGAATAATTGAGCATATATTAATGGATTTGCGTAACCGTTGGCTAGTTTTGGAGCGTGGTGCATCAATTAGAGTCTTCGGAAGGGAGTGGAATGCCGGTTTGGACATTCGGAGCGAGGTGAGTCTCCTTCCTAACCTTGTAAGAGGGAATTGTCCCCATAGGTGAAATAATTGATTATGTGCTCCTATTTGCGGGGGCACGCACGAGGTGACGAGAGTCCGTGCGTAGCTACTATTATGCCATTGTCCGGGTAGCTAGGGCCCAAAAGCATGTTATACTTGGATTATTTATGAACCTATTGATAGCTTGAATTGCTTAAATCACCTTGGATCAGTAAATGAATTTAAAAGGAGATTAAACACAATTTTTTTCTGAATTGTTAAAAGAGAAATTGTTTTATTTGGATAAATATTCCCGATAAGTTTTTAATTGACTGATTGAGCATGTATCTCTATGTGTACCTGCGTCGCATGCATGATTCGC